TGAGGGTTGCGATCCCGTTGCTGGTCCCAGTCCGGTACGGGGGCGACACTGAGGGTTGCGATCCGCTGCCGGACATGGAAAAAAGACAAAAAAAAATTCCAGTGTGTCCCAGTTAGGGCCTTGTTTTCAGCAGTTCAGGATCCTCTACCAAGTGACTGCAGACAGAGCTTGGGGTTGTGATTAAAAATATAAGATTTAAGAATAAGGGTTCGACTAGATTTTTACTCTAAAACCCTTTCTACTCTGTTTACTCTTAAAATGAAATTCTCTACTTATAAGAAAGCACCTAGCAGTAAAATGACACTTCTTGAAATTCACTACATCATCTCCAAATGGTTTTATTATACATGGGCTCCTCTAGAGTCTTGGCAGTTCCCCATGTGAGCGCTAAAGTGTCAGGGCCAGAGGGAAGGGCCAGAGGGAATCTACTCCTTCCTTTTGCTGGTTCTGTAATACACAGCACCTTTGCCAAGAATAAGAGAGTAGCCAAGTGGAAGGACTGCTCTGCCTTCTCCCTCCCACCCTGCATCACTCTGCCTCCTGCCTTTAACTGTGTGAAGTTCCTGAAACCCCTGCTAACCCAGTTTAGTCTCCCCTTTGTCATTCAGCAAGCATTTCCCCAGTACCTACTCTAGGACAAGCTCTTTTACCAGAACCACATCCTCTGGCCCTTTCTGCCAGAAGGAAGGTGGCAGATAGAAAAATTAGGCTTATAATTAATAAATCCATAGAGTTAGCAAGACTTTTCTTAACTGGACTTCTTAAATAAGTCCAGTTAAGAGGATGTGACACTCTCTAGGGTAAGAGATCCATGAGTCCTATTACTGGGAATGTAAAGTCATAAAATCAGGCATTTCTTACGGGGCTGTCAATGGGGCTGCCTCTTGCTCTGATTCAAACTCAACGCATTTAGCTACTGTGAGTTAGACAGTAGAACCATTCATTCAATTTGCAATCATTCATTAACCACTCCTATGAACCTGACCACAGGGTGCAGACCTGCAGATATACAGTGAGCAAGTCAGCCACAGTCCCTACCTTCTTAGAGATCACTAAACAGATGCTTAAGCAATTGCCCCAAAATATAATAAAAGCTATGATGAGGAAGTATAGTTTTCTTGAAAAACTAGTTCCAGAATATCCAACCCAGTATAGGTGGGTCAAGGAAGGCACCTAACCTCGTTGGGGTGTGGAAGGGATATAAGAGAAGACTTCCTAGAGTAAGAGAAATCTAAGATCTGATTTGAAAAATAAGCAGCTATTAACCAAGGGAAGAGGAGAGGGAGGGAGAGGAGTATGTTCCAAGAAAAGAAAACAAGTACTATGCCCTGGAGGCAGATTTAAGGGATGGAAAGAGTTTGGGAAAAACAGGTAGAAAATGTACAGTGGGGGGAGGGCAAGGAGAGGAGAGAAGCAAAAAGAGGAGGCTGGAAAGGTGAGCAGGAGCCAGGCGATTTTGGCAGGAGCCAGTTTGGATTTTAATCTACAGTGGAAATCATTACAGGATTATAAATAGGAAGGGCAATATATTTTGTGAAAAACATGAAAGTATAGAGAATAGATTAAGGGAGAACAAAACAATGAGTAAAAGGATAGATGAAAAGGCAGATGATTGGATAAATGGAGACAAGGTGAAGAGATCAGTCAGGAGACTGTTGTTACCATCCAGCAAGAGATAATGGCATCCTGGCCTAGGATAGGAGCAGTGTGGGCGGAGGTGAGTGGGCATGGTAGAGTTATAATTTGGAGGTAGAACCCTCAGGACTTGGTGATTGGTGATATGGGAGGTTTCAGGAAAAATGCTCAGGTTTCTGACTTGGGTTACTGGATAGATACTGAGATGGGGAATATTGGTGAGGCTAATGTTTGAATAACAAGAGAGAGTAAGTTCAATGTTGAGACACGTCGAGTTTTAGATGTCTGTGGAATACCCAGGAGGAGAACATTGGACTTAGTGGAGCTCAACAGAGAAGACTGAGCTGAGTACATTGTTTCAGGGTCATGAGCCTAGAGAGAAGATAGTCGAAGCTGTTGTAATAAATGAAATTGTCTAGGCAAGCATGTAACATAAGCAGAAGGGAAAAAAGTTTAAGACAAAATATTGAAGAATCCCATCATTTAGAAGAAAGAAAGGGTACCTAAGAGACTAAGAAAGAGCAGATGGAGAGAAAAAAGGAAATCCAGAAGAATATGATATTGTGCAAACCAATGGAAATGTGCTTTTAGAAGAGTGGGCCACTGTGTCAAAAGGTGCCGAAAGGTGAGGAAGAAAGTTTGGAGTTACAGTCAGCATTAATCTTCAATTCTGTGCTACTCAGGAAATATGTTGAATTCCATACTCTTAGAGGTTTTTTTAGTGTTCTTTAAAATATTATTGATTTAATTCCTTGACGTTCTCAATTAAGATGTGGCAAGAATTTAAGACAGATATTAACATTTTTCTCAAGTAAGATACATGATCATCCAAGTCGCATGTCTAACATTCATTTGGAAAATAATAACAGATTCTTCCCTATGAGAGGAGTACTGCCATTAAACTGTCTCTTTTCTTTTGTTCCCCACCCTCCAATCTTTAGTTTGTTTTTTTCTCAAGTAAGATACATGATCATCCAAGTCGCATGTCTAACATTCATTTGGAAAATAACAACAGATTCTTCCCTATGAGAGGAGTACTGCCATTAAACTGTCTCTTTTCTTTTGTTCCCCACCCTCCAATCTTTAGTTTGTTTTCAATTTCTTAGTCCTGTGAACTGTTTTTACATAAAACCTTTCCCCATAGAATTTCAATTGCAGTGTTGCCTGATTTTGAAATTAGAAATATAATTTATTTCCTCTTTGTTCTAAACCATGGAAAAGTTAGTTCATACAATGCACCTCATGACGCTTGAAGAGTAAAATATGACTTGGAGATTTAGTCATCCTCTTTCCTGTTTCTTTTCCAGCTACAGGAGACTGTGAAAAGGAAGTTGGAGGGAGCCCGATCACCACTTAATGGAGACCAGCAAAATGGTGCTTGTGATGGGAGTTTTTCTCCAACTAGCAAGCGAATCCGAAAGGACATTCCTACAGGGATGGAAACCATCAACAATTTGCCCAACAACATGCCACTGTCTTCAGCTTCTCCTCTTCACCAACTTGACCTTAAGCCTTCTTTGCCCTTGCAGAATAGTGGAACTCACACGCCTGGGCTTCTAGAAGATCTAAGTAAGAATGGTAGGCTCCCCGAGATTAAACTGCCTGTCAATGGTTGCAGTGACCTGGAGGATAGCTTCACCATCTTGCAGAGCAAGGACCTCAAACAAGAACCTCTAGATGACCCTACTTGCATAGACACATCAGAAACATCTCTTTCAAATCAGAACAAGCTGTTCTCAGACATTAACCTGAATGATCAGGAGTGGCAAGAATTAATAGATGAATTGGCCAACACGGTTCCTGAAGATGACATACAGGACCTGTTTAATGAAGACTTTGAAGAGAAAAAGGAGCCAGAATTCTCACAGCCTGCAACCGAGACCCCTCTCTCCCAGGAGAGTGCTAGTGTCAAGAGTGACCCATCTCACTCTCCTTTTGCACATGTGTCCATGGGGTCTCCCCAGGCAAGACCTTCTTCTTCTGGTCCTCCCTTTTCTACCGTCTCCACAGCCACCAGTTTACCTTCTGTTGCCAGCACGCCTGCAGCTCCACACCCCGCCAGCTCACCAGCAAACTGTGCTGTCCAGTCCCCTCAAACTCCAAACCAAGCCCACACTCCAGGCCAAGCTCCACCTCGGCCTGGAAATGGTTATCTCCTTAATCCAGCAGCAGTGACAGTGGCCAGTTCAGGGTCAGGCCCTGTGGCTGGGCCCAGCTCCGACATGTCTCCAGCAGAGCAGCTCAAACAGATGGCTGCGCAGCAACAACAAAGGGCCAAACTCATGCAACAGAAGCAGCAGCAGCAGCAGCAGCAGCACTCAAATCAGACTTCAAGTTGGTCTCCTTTAGGGCCTCCATCTAGTCCATATGGAGCAGCTTTTACTGCAGAAAAACCAAATAGCCCAATGATGTACCCCCAAGCCTTTAACAACCAAAACCCTATAGTGCCTCCAATGGCAAACAACCTGCAGAAGACGACAATGAATAACTACCTCCCTCACAATCACATGAATATAATCAATCAGCAGCCAAATAACTTGGGTACAAACTCCTTAAACAAACAGCACAATATTCTTACTTATGGCAACACTAAACCTCTGACCCATTTTAATGCAGACTTGAGTCAGAGAATGACACCACCCATGACCAACCCCAACAAAAACCCCTTGATGCCGTATATCCAGCAGC